TTTCCTATTCAAAATATATTCTAGGAATAAATTAATTATTGCTGTAAAGTGTAATTTCATCTCATTCAGAAACCATCTGGAAATTTCAAGAGAAACAAAATTTCCCAGAGTTGGTTGACTTGCTTTATTGAATGAAACCAGCTATTTTACTCCCAGTAAGATTAAGTAGTCAGTGTTCAATTTTCAATATAAAACTGTATTTTCACCTAATATTTTAATATTAAAACAAAGGTTCTTTTCTTGCACTATTTTTTTTTTTATAAAATGCTTCAGAAAAACAATGTATATATTGCAAAATTTAAAAGCCTGAAGCAAACAAACCAACTCGATACGGTTGTAGTAGGTGTCTCCTTATTTTTCAAAGCATATTTCATTCTCTCACAGTTAACAATGGAGTATATTTTGAGAAATGTGTTGTTAAGCATTAAATCTTTGTGAACATTATAGAGCAAATGTTATAATTTGTCCCCTTAAATTCATGCTGAAATTTAGTCCTACTGTGAGGTATGAAGAGGGAAGGACCTTTGGAAGGAGATTAGGATTAGCTAATATCATTAGAGTATAGCCCCTACTGATTAAATTTTGGTGGCTTTAAAAGAAGAGAGAGAGACCACAGGTCATAGGCACACATGAATCTGTACACCTTGTTGCCATGTGATATCCTGTATTTTTCCCAGCAAACCAGCACCAAATAAGGCCCCTTGAATTTGAACCTCCAGAACCATGAACCAAAAGAAACCACTTTCTTTTATAAAGTAGCCTGCCTCAGGAATCTCATTATCATAACAAAAAATAAAAAATATTGTATGCTTTAGATGGCTATGATATCACTAGTTTATATAACCTTAAGGAACCATGTGGTCCCTTCACTGACTATAATGTTACAATGTAATTCATGACTGTCTACACACACACACACACACACAATCTATTGAATTTTAAGTATTTTCACTTCACAGATGAATTTTTGCAATAGCAGAATTTCTAAAATAAATCTTGAGAACCGAGTGCTTCAAAATAAATGTGGTATACAAATAACTCCATGGTAACTTTTATTATGGGGCAAGAAGGGAGTGTAGTGAAGGAGCAAAAGCAATGCAGGCAATGCAGGGGCTGGAGACCCTAAGTGGAGTGTTAACACAAAGCCAGAGCAGAAATGTGGAAAGAATGCCAGATCAGACAAGCCTCCAAATGGAGAATTAACTATACCAAAAAAATGAAAACTCAATGTTTGTACTTATTATTAAAGAAATTCAAAAGAACATAAATGTTCAAAGAATAAAAAGTTTGCAAATTAAAAAGCCATTGCTTAAATTTTTGCAAACCCATTTGCAGGTTTGTAATGAGGCAGACCTGGGTCTTAGCTCAGAGGCCATCACTTTCTTGATAACATTGTCTTGGACTGTCACCATCGAAACCTCTTTTCTTTTGCACTTTTTACCACAGGCCCAACTGGAATTTCCTCAACTCCAGCTCAGTTTTAGGCAGAACTGCAGTGTTCCCTTTCACTTCCTCTCCCAGTCTGGACAGCCTCAAAATGTGACTGGCAGTTGGGGTCTGGGATATCTGTGAGCTCCTCCTAATGTGGAGGACTATACCAGTTACTTCCATTACTTCCTCATACCCATAGATAGAGGGGCTCAAATGGTCAAATGACATAAAAACAGTGCCCTAAATTCATTCCAACCAATGCTTGTTTTCCCAGAGCTCCTAAATTCTTTGGATTAACTGGGCATGTTGAAAACAAATAATCATTCTGATTTCCATTTCAGTTGTTTTTATATATTTTAGATTTCCAGAGTGTCAATTGTGGACTAACACAATCAAAGAAGTGAAATAATGGCATTTGCTGTGGGCCAGGGTTTGTGATAAGCCATTCACTTGGGCTGGTTAAATTTTTATGAGAAAATTATATAAATATTTTAACAAAATTAGCCTTAAACTGGGAATGTTATTTTAACTATATAGTCAAATTATTATCCTTTAGCAAAAGTGCAAAGGTTTAAATCTCTATTCTCATAGACATTTTAATGTAATTAAAATGTAACTGGTGGGGATGAGGTTATAGCTCAGCAATAGAGTGCTCACCTAGCATGAGCGATCCTTGATCCTTAGCACTATATAAAAATAAATAAATTAATTAAAGATATTGTATCCAACTACAACTAAAAAATAAATATTTAAAAAACATAATTGGTAGGGGCTGGGGATGTGGCTTAAGTGGTAGCGTGCTCGCCTGGCATGTGTGTGGCCCGGGTTCGATCCTCAGCACCACATACAAACAAAGATGTTGTGTCCATTGAAAACTAAA